AAAACTTTGAAACTGTGCAATCAATCAAATTTCAAATTTGTAATTTTATGATGATCATGGCATGCTGTTTCTTTTGTTGAATCATCAGGATCATTGTCATGGCGGATTTTTGCATGTTTCGATGTGGAAGTTTTTTTTTTAGTTTTTTTTTTTTTTTAGTTTTGTTTTGTTCTCAAAACAATTGTCAGTCGTCACAGTCAGCACCAAATTCAATTCACCAGTCGCTAGCCTCATTATCAGATTCATGCCACCTTTTTTTTTTTTGGGGGGGGGGKGATTTTTTATACCTATTGGACTTCAGATTCATGCCACCTCCTTCAGAGAGGCCTCCTTCAGTCAGGGTGAAGAAAAAGTGTACCACGAATACGTTGACTTCATGCAATTTATCTAACCGAAATAGTGGCCAGATGCTTTCGAGAAAATGTTAATGCGAGTATGGCCTAAACCTGGGCTAGCTACTGACCGTTGCCATCTTTTTTCATCAAGTACTAAATTGATTAACTTATACCTAGTTCAATTGTTGCTATTTTTCCCAAACAACAACAACAACAAAAGTTGCTATTTTTAATTATTTGCCTTGGTATGGGTATTATGGGCCTATTCATTTTCATTATTTTTGGTTAATGTTTACGTGTTTTCGAATGTTGGCCCTAATCATTTTCATTATTTTTGGTTTATGTTTACCTGTTTTCAAATGTTAACACATTAAAACTTAAAAGGTTTTAACTGAAAAACGCGAGTGGTTATCAAACTGGCTGCATCAGAAAAGTCTGGTCATTTGTTTTGGCACAATTCATCAGGATTAGTACTATTGAATAGTCCTATCAACCCCCAGTTAGTAAGTGCCTTTTTTTTTTTTTTCAACATTTTACTATTTAGCATTTAGTATTTACCTTTTTTTATTTTTTATTATTTTTTTTGCTTTAGATTTTCCTGATTTCAACAGAGTGGTTGTCAAATTGGGTGCAACAGAAAAACCTGGCATTTCTCCTGGGGCAATCCATTTTAATAGTCATCTATAACCCCCCCCACCCCCCACCCCCCACCCTGCACCCCTCTTACCGGAAGGAAATCGGAGAATACCACGTCATCTTTTTGTCTACCTCTTCCAGCTCCTACATCCACCTGCCCCACCCCCCAAATGCTCAATTAAATTTTGTACTACTCTTTATGCATAAGGAGTAGTACAAAATCTAATTGAGCATTTGGGAAGCAGGCGCTTGATTGCCCTTGTGTCCTGTTTCCTATTCCGTAAAGCATCCAGCAGCTCTCCCGTGTTCCATGTGAGACCTGGGGAAACTGCTGGGCCCAAAGGAGGGGCTCAGAAGGGATAGGGGCTGGCGGGTCAAGCGTTGCACGGAAGGGCAAGCTGGTACGGGTATGGAGGGAGCAGGGACTTTTCGGGTGTAGAATTTAGACCGTTTTTTACTTGTGTCTATTATTGTTGCGCAAGGTGTGATTGGAAACTGTGCGGCCAAGACGAGCAGGAGGATGATGGCAATAAAGAAGTTGAGGAGAATGAGGATGAGGAAGTTGATGAAGAGAAGGATGGCGACGATGACGAGGAGGACAAAGATTCTCTCTCTCTCTCTCTCTCTCTCTCTCTCTCTCTCTCTCTCTCTCTCTCTCTCTCTCTCTCTCTCTCTCTCTCTCTCTGAATGCTGGTGTGGATCCTCCTCTTTCTCCTGCGTCAGGGCCTCGTTTGCAGCAACCTCCTCCTCCTCCTCCTCCTCTCTGTCACCTTCTCCCTTTCCTCTTCCTCTCCTATGTGGACGTTCCCCTCTTCCTCCGACACCTCCACCTGATCCCATTCACCTCCACTCCTACCCTCGTTCCATGTCTCATCATGCTGCGCAGCCATACCCCTGATCACTTCATGCCCTTGTCCACCACCTCCTCCTCCTCGTCCTTGACCACCTTCTGCTCCTGGGTATGGACTTTCTCCTCCACCTGTGCCACCTCCTCCAGTGAATCCTGTTCCACCCGTGCACCTTCTGCTAACTCCTCATTCCCCTTCTGTACCTCCTCCTCCTCCACCCCCTCCAGGTTTGACCTCCCGATTGTTTTGGCCCTCTGCCATCTCTTCCTCTCTTCCACCTCATTCATTAGTTTCTCATCCTGAGACTCAGAGAGAGAGAGAGAGAGAGAGAGAGAGAGAGAGAGAGAGAGAGAGAGAGA